TCCTAGCCACTCTTAAAATTGTCTCTTTATCTTTGGTTTTGGCAAGTTTGATTATAATATGTCTTGGTTGCTTTCTTTTAGGATCTACCTTTTATGTGGGGTTTGATGAGCATCTTGGATAGATATCTTGTCATCTTTTACAATGGGAGAGAGGTTTTTCCCTAAGGGGGTTGTTTTTGATTCACGCGTAGTCTGGACGCAAGTACTTATCTTTCACTGATTGAGAGCTGCTTCTCCCTGGTTCTGGGTGGCGGAGTAGATTCTCTGTCTCCGGGTCTCTCCCAGTGTGGAATATGCCTCCTGAGCAGCGCTGCTTGCTCACCTCACCGCTCACCCATGAGCTGATCATTTAGGCTCAGGCTCTCGCCAGGCCAGGTCTGGCCAACTTCTCACTGCTTCTGAACCATGTCTCCTTCCCCCTGCCATCAGTCCAGTTCCTCAGCTTTGCCTTTGATGTTCAGGGCTCCTGGATTGTCATGTATAATTGATTCACTTGTTTTTTCTGGCATTTGTTGTAAGAGGGTCCGCCAGAAGAATCTGAGTACTCTGCCATCATGGCCCCGCCTCCTCGTGATAGATAAGATTTTCATTGGCTGATTTTTGGAAGTTGATCACCAGACCTTTTTTCCTAGTCTGTCTTTGCCTGGACGCTCCACTGAATCCTGTCCTCCATGGGTGACCCTGCTGGTATTTGAAATATTGGTGACATAGGTTCCAGTATCATATCGACACGTAAGCCACCATGGTACAACAAACTGACAGGTGGTGTTTACCTGTTTGCACCCTCTGTGTTTACATGAGGCAAGACTTGGTTGTTTGGTTGCGTTGATGCCCTGAGTCAATACCAAGCACTAAGCCAGGTGCTCGGGAGAGGATGACCACGCTCTTCAGATGATGGCATCGTCTGTCCAGGTCCTCCCCCAAGCTGGTCGCCAGTTTGCTGTGTCAGAGCCTGGCCTCTCTGGAGGCAGGCAAGGCCTTGGGGCTTTTTGCCCATAGACCTCCATCCTTCTGGGGGTATTTTGTTCCATCTGTCTACACAGATGCCCTTTCCTTGGTTGTTGGCTGCACAGTGTGGTGGTTGGGCACCGGGAGGAGACAGACAGAGCACCTGGGCCTGCATGGGGTGGGTGGGGAGGCAGGACTCGGCTGTGTCCTGAAGAAGGTCATTAAAATGTCTCCTGCTGCCTCAGAACTGATTATGTCCTTTCATTGTTCCTTGGAAGTGGATATTCTTGGGTTTGGAGTTTTCTGACGAAGATTGCATTAAGTTTGACTGTGATGGCCCCACACAGCACAAAGATGGGTTCTGAAAAGCTCAGCCTCGTTTCCCTCAGCAGATGAGAGCTCAAACAGGCCCTGATCGATAAACACGCCTGGCTCTCCCTCTAAGAACTAAGAACTAAGAACTTCGTTTTGAACTCCCAAAGGTTCGCGGAAATGCCAGTGACCTCAGAGTTCAACTCCAACATGGGACTCGAGGTTTAATTTTTTATGAGTTTCTCTTCTTTACTTTACAAGAAAGGCTGAGACTGAACAGAGAGAACATCCCCGACAGAGAAGAGCCAGCAGTGTGGGTGCTGGTGTTGTGGATGGGGTGCAGGGATTCAGCTCCCCAAATGCTGTTGAGCTGTGGCATGATCGCTTGAGGGGTCCTCGGGGCAAGCTACCCTTTCTAACTGAGGCCAGGCTCCCCCACCATCTGCGTATGAGAATAGGGGTATGCCATTTGTTGGCAGGTGGTTTGAAAACCCAGTTTGGGGCTGGATTCCTGGAGTCATCAGGAGATGGCACCCCTGGGTAAGCTGACCTTCCATCTGGTCAGTTTGTCCCCGTCTTCCTGCTGACTTGTGGACACTGCCCTTGGTGGTCCCTTGTCTCCGGTGTCACCAGGACCCCCCCACTCTACCTGACTAGTTCTTCGTGTATACCAACATGCTGGTACTGTATTTCCCATTTTTGAAACAAAAAGTAAATGCCTTTTTTGACTCCATTTCCCCTCCAGATGTCAGCTATTTTCCTGCCTTCCTCCGTGTCTGGACAGGGTTGTGTGCTCCAGTCCCTCCCTCTCTCCTGTTTTTCTGAGCATGCTGGCAGGCCCTTCTCTTGCTTTTCATCACTTCACAGCATCCCTGTCCTCTCACTTCTCTCTCTCCTGCCCCTTCCCGCCTTCCCGTGGCTCCAGCCGCCATCTTCCCTGCTCTTTCGAGAACAGCTCCAGCCACATCTGCTGGCCTACAGCTTGCTGTTGCCTCTGCCCGGGGTGCTGGCCCCCCAAGATGCGCAGAGCCCCCCTCTCCTTCACTGTCCTCTGGGTTTCCCTGAGATGAGCAGACACAGCCCCCTTCTCCTCCTTCCATGCCCTCTGGGGTCCCCTAACAAATGCGCTCCTGACTGCCCTTCATCCACTATCCCCTCTTCCCTTGCTCCACACCAGGTCAGCACATTTTCCTTACTCCCCTCATGTGTCAGTGAGTGCATGGCTGTGTACTTGTTCCTTGTCCGTCTGAACCCACTGCTGGGTGTTAAGTCCTCATCTATCTTCCAAGCCCCCTCTTGCATGCTCGGCTTATGGTGCTGGGACCAGGTCTCCAAACTGTCGTGACCTCAGCCGCTTCCCTGTGCTCTGCAGCCTGAGGGTCATCGCTTCGTCCAGAGCTGCCACCACCTCAGCATCTGAGCTTTCTCTTTTTTCCCCTCTCAGCCGTCTAGATCATCCTGTCAGATCAACTGCTCAGCACAGGTATGCTGAGCTTCCTGAGGGACATACCCCACTCCAGTGAGGCCCTGTGCGGTCAGTCTCCTCCCTGTGGGTTTGACCCCTGCTGTCTCTTTAGTGTCTGGAAATGTTTGCAAATGCTGAATGAATGAATGTATGAATACATGAGTGCAAAGCTGAGTTGCTCATGGCTCTGAGCGAGGCTCTTTAGAGAGTGGTCAGTAGCATCATGCTGTATTGAATTTTAAAGTTGGGTTTTTACATGCAGTTCTGTCTTTTTAAAAAATTGTCTCAGTCACTTGGTGCTGCTATAAGAGAGATACCACGAGTGGCTGGCTTCAACAAACAAAAATTTGTTTTCTCACAGTTTAGGAGGCTAGATGTCCAAATTAAGAGCCCCGGCTCTAGGGGAAGGCCTGCTCTGTCAGCTCTGCGGGAAAATCCTTGTCTCAGCTTCTCTAGGGTTCTTCTCAGTGTTCCTTGGTGATCTCCACGTGGTACCTATCTTTCCCCATCTGTGCATGCTTACTTTTCTGTGTCTTTCTTACTCATTCGTGTCTTTTTATATCTCAAACGCAATCAGGTTTAGGACAAATCCTATACTGATATGCCCTCTTTAACATAACAAAGAAGGCCCTATTCTCCAACAGGATTATATCCACATTTTAAGGGGACACAATTCAGTTCATAACAGTGTCACTGAGTGCTCATTAAATGTCGGGCCTTGGGTCAGGCCTTGGTAGCAGGGAGCCGGCCCAGGGCCTTGACTCTGCTCGGCCCTATGGCGCCAGCCCCCCGGCAGTCCTGAGGGCCCAGGATGGCGCTTGTCCATGGCTGCCCACCCAGTGCCATCCTACCTGGTCAGGGGCCTCCTGTCAGAGCATATGGCCTCCTTCCCTTCCTCATCTCATGAACTGAGTTCTTCTCTTGGGAGACCAAGCCTGGCAGGTGGCTGCTCCAGCCTGGGCCGGCCCCAGCCCTTACAGCTCTGCCTTTCCCACGTGTGCTGCTGACTGGGAACTCTTCAGCCCTCCTGCAGTGGGTCTGGTTCTAAGGCACTTCAGACTGGGGCTGGGGGCTCAGGTGAGCCCCCCTCAGTGCTAGCGCTCTTGGCTTTGCAGGAGCAACCAGGTGTGGCTGGGTGCTACAGATTAGCCCCTTGAGTGAATTGGTACTGCTCAGATGAAAGCTGGCTCTTTCAGGACCCAGTCTGGCTCTGCAGCACTGAGCACCCGCCCTCCGGCACCAGGAGTCTCTCTCTGTTCTTGGTTCTTGGGACAGCCACACGCTCCTTTGCACATGCCTTGTGGGGAGGTCTCCAGCCATAAGTTTGACCCACTCTGGATGGGGGGGCTTTGTGCTCCCCAAACTGCAGGCTTGGGACATGCCTCCAACAGTCCGTCTACTGCAGGGTCCCACCCCTGGTGAGTGTCCATGCCGTGCCCTGCCACCAGAGGGATGACACTGGCCTCATCCATGCCTGTGCTCGCTGGACTAATTAGCGCAGAGCAAGGGGTCAGGCACTTTTGTAATTAGGTGAGAAGTGGGCTGAGGCCAAGGCCTGGGGCATGGAGAGGGAGGGGTGACATTTAAAACGCAGAGTTGACAGAAATGTCAGGCACCTTTTGAGGCAAGGAGACTTCTGCGAGCCCCACTCTAGTGCCCATCACTTCCAGTTGGCCCCAGCTAGGGCAGCGGGGTACCCTGGGTTGCAGGCATTTCTCCACGCCTTGCCTCTGCCACAGCTCGGAGAGTAGGCCCGGGTACTGCCGATCCCCGCCACACACCTGCTGGCCGTGAGTCAGATGGGAAGCGCTCCATGGTGATTGGGCTCATTCAGAGCCCAGCTCCAGCAGCCGCACACGACAATCTTCCCTATTGTGTGTGGAGTGTGGTCCACCCCCGCCTCCGTGCTCTGGGATCACCCTGGGTGTAGACTTGAAATCCAGAAACTCCTGAAAGGCTCTAAGTAGCTATTCAGAGTGAGGAAGTGATGGAGCGCACGTGTGGCAGTGCTGTTTCTGGTTCCAGCAGTGGTGACAGCGGGGTCCTGCGTCCCAAGGGGCCTTGCTGTGAGGGGTGGTGGGGGTGGGAGCCCAGGTGGGGAGGGGGTGCATTAGCCTCATGTTTCTGCCCTGTGCTCTGCCTGCAGCAGCGCTGTTTCAGGTTCCAGGGGTGGGTAACAGTGGGGTCCTGCACCCGGAGGGGCTGTGCTGCAGGGGGCCGTGCTGTGGGAGGAGGAGGTGCACTGGCCTCACGTCTCTGCCCTCTGCCCCTATAGCGCCCGTGAGCTGGAGAAGGCACGGCAGCAGCTTCAGGACGAGGTCCGCCAGGTGGGCAGCCAGCTGCTGGAGGAGCGCAAGCGGCGTGAGACAAGCGAGGCCCAGGCTCGGAGGCTGCAGAAGCGTGTGCTACTGCTGACCAAGGTATGGGGCCCCAAGGGCAGACCCTTCCCCAGCTGCCCCGTGTCCACTCCTGCTGACCGAGGTACCAGGGCCCTGCGGGCAGCCCCTCTCCTGAATGCCCCATGTCCACTTCTGCTCTCCTCCCTGACCACCCCATGCCCGTCAAGGCCTTCCCCAAATCATGGTGCCTTTTAGCTCCAGTGTCCATTTCCTTGCTTTCTCCATCTGTCTGTCAGTGTGACTTGGGGCTGTCCTTGAGTCCCAGCTCCTGGTCAGCCTGCCATCTCTCTGGTCACAGGGCAGGGTTACTCGTTTCACCAGTCCTCTTGTTTTCATTCTGGGTGGTCTTGAGGGCTATTGGAAGCCACGTGCAATTCTCCACACGGTAGCATCCCACTTGGGGATCCAAAGGCCCTTGTGTGGGGCCTGCCCAGCACCCTGTGTCCACTGCCAGCATGTGTGGGGCCCTGGGAGTGTGTGCATGGGCCTGGAGGGCTCAGTGCTGACGGCATGGGGTCGGCACTTTGGCTCCGCTGCGTCCCTGTATCCTCGCACACAAGGGTCTGTGTGCTGTGACCAGGGGTAAGATCCACCCCTTCCATAGTACTTGGCAGGTGCAGGTTAAGCCAAGGGGGCTGGGATGAAGATTGTCACCTGCTTCCAGACGCGCCAGGCAGTGTGTCCTTGTCCCCAGCTGCAACCGGGCCACTTCTGCTGCCCGACACTCTTTAATTGCTCTGCCTGAGTAGTTCTGATGGCTGACTCGATAGGCAGAGCCTGCTGCAGTGTGAATGTGGTTTTTCTGAGTCTTATTGAAAGCGTTGCCTTGGATGCTGAAACTTCAGAAGACAAGGGAGGAAAAGGCCTGAGTCTGTCCTTAGATGCTTTCCAGGTGGGGCTGTCCAGCTGAATCTGCCCTTAAACTGGGTCTGAGTGAGCTGAGGGCTGTTTGCTGTCCCCAGACTATGGGGGATGATGGAGCCCAGGAAATAGTAGGAGTCATGTCTGACTAATGCTGGTGTGTTCCTGATCTCTTTAATGAAAAGTGGTGCCGCTGGGGCTTCCTGGTTCTGAAGCTCCTAGGAGGCAAGCATATTTCTGTACTAAAAGCCGGTGATTTGTGGCCTCTCTAGCAAGTTCCCGACAGCCCCAGGTATCTCTTACAAGAAGACCTCACCTTGGTCTTGGCCACCACTGAGAGCCCCGGGTCTGGGGGCTTCCAGGGATGTCAGCTTCGCTGGCTTCTTGGCTAACTTCTCTGCACATAGTCAGAAGCCCTGGCTTCATAGGTGGACCCCAGAGAGGAGAAATTCCAGAAATTTCTAGAACTAGTTTTCTCAGCTGCCTCTTGGCAAAGATGGCACGGCCCTTCGGTGTGGTCATCAGCCATTTATGGAGCAGATTCCCCAGCACCCAGCTCCCATCCTCCTGTTGCACTGTTTCCCGTCTTCCCCAAACACTTACTGGTGCCAGCTGGGTGTCCGGTTCCTGCTCGGGCGGCTGATACAGTCTAATGGTCAGCCCTGGGAGAACCTATAGCCTTGTGGGGCAGACGGGCCTCCATAACAAACCAACTTGCACCTGCACACTGTGGCAGGGACAGACAGGTGGCATTGAAGCCCACCTGAGGGTGCAGATACTGTTTTGAGAGGATGCATGAAGAAACTGGCCTTCTGGGGACAGAGCTATGACCAGCATATGAACAAGAAGACCTTTTATAAAGGTGGGGCCTGCGGGCAGCCAGGCATCTGTGTGCTTACAGATGCTGCTAATTCATGCAGGACGGTGGGGCTGTGGCCTGTCAGGTGACGAGATCGTGAAAGTTTAGTATGGACAGAGCCCCCCTCTTCTCCTGGCAAGAGCCGTGGTGGCAAGGGCTCATAAGAGTGTCTTATGTGGTTTTAAGCAGTGACCTTTTTAAAAAATAAACTTTATTTTTGGGAACAGTTTTAGGTTTACAGAAACATTGTGAAGGTAATGCAGAGAGTTCCCATATACCCTGCGCCCAGTTTCCTGTTATTAGCATTTTACACTAGTGTGATGCATCTGTTACAATTAATGAACCAGTGTTGATCTCTTATTATTATCTAAAGTCCATGCTTTCTTCAGATTTCGAGTTTATACCTAAGGCCTTTTTTCTGCCCAGTACCCATCCAGGATCCCACGTCACATTTAGTCGTCCTGTCTCCTCAGGTTCATCTGGTCTGGGACAGTTTCTCAGAACTGTCTTTGGTTTTGATGACCCTGACAGTTTTGAAGGGTGCTGGTCAGGTGTTTTGTAGGATGCCCCTCTGTTGGGACTTGTCTGTTGTTTCTGTCATGAATAGACTGGGGTTATGGTTTTTGGGAGGAAGACCAGAAATGAAGTGCCGTTCTCATCAAGGGTACAAACTGTCAGCATGACCTCTCACTTTTGATGTTGACCTTGACCATCTGGCTGGGGTAGAGTTCGTCACGTTTCTCCACATAACCTTTCTATACTGTCCTCTTTAGAAGGAAGTCACCATGCTCAGCCCACACTGAAGGGGTGGCAATTTTGCTCCACCTCCTTGAGGGTGGCGTGTCTACATGAATTGTTTGGAATTCTTTTGCATAGGAGATTTGTCTCTTCTCCCCCATTTATTTATTTATTCAATTATTTATAGCAGATAGACTCATGGATATTTATTTTATACTTTGGGTTTTAATTCACTACTACTTCATTTTGTTGCTCTACTTGTTCCAGCTTTGACCACTGGAAGCTCCTTCAGCTGGCCTGTGGCCTTTGACAGGAAGTCATGTGTAGCCCTTAATGGGGTTTGGTTTTGTTTTGGTTAGCTTTTTGAGCACTTCTTTAATTTTGGTGTTATGAGATGTGCCATGTGCATCTTGTATATTTCTAGCCCAGTCCTAGCATCAACCATCCTTCCAAGGAGCTCTGGTTCCTTTTATTGGAAAAGAGCATTAGAAACCAAGCTCTGGGGGCTAGATGTGCTCATTGCTAATGGGGTGCCATTGCTTCTAGGCCCTCCCAGTGGACAGAGCAAGGAAATATCTGTGTGTATACATACATGTCTGTAAATATTTGTAGTTGTCTGTATCTGTATTAAGTGAAATTGAGTTCATTTTGATGTCTCCAACCCGGATCCATTACCACATGGATCGTTCTAGCCTTTTCTCTTGCTTATCTGTAAACTTCCACTCCAACAGCAAGAAACCTGCCTTCTTCCATCTGCCATCCATTTACTGAATTGTTCAATTCCAAAACGCATGTGTAACAGTATCAGAATTGTTAATCCTGGACAATGGATTTTTTTTAAAAAAACTTATTTTGAAATAATTATAAATTTGCAAGAATTTGCAAAGATAGTACAGAGGAGTCCCTTGTACCCTTCACCCGGTTTCCCCCAGTGGTCACTTCTTCCGTCATTATAGTACAATAGCAAAATTAGGACTTTAACAGTAGTCCAATGTGTATGTTCAGTTCTAGGTCATTTTGTCACGTGTAGATTTGTGTAACCACTGCTACCTCAAAATTACACCAACTCCCTTGTTCCCCACTACCCCTAACCCCTGGCAACCACTGATCTGTTCTCCATCTCTGTAAGTACTTCATTTTGAGAATGTTGTATAAATGGAATCATATAGTCTGTGACCTTTCGAGGTTGACTTTTTTCACTCAGCATAATGCCCTTGGAATCCATCCAAGTTGTTCTGTGCATCGATAGTTCATTTCTTTTACTGGCTAAGTAGTATTCTGTGGTATGGATGTACCGCAGTTTGCTCAACACTTCACCAATTGAAGGACATTTTTGTTTATTCCGGTTTTTGGCTTTTACAAATAAAACCACTCTGAACAGTTGTGTACAGGCTTTTGTGCAAGCATTAGTTTTTTTTTTACTCTGGGATAAATGCCCAGGAGTGTGATTGTGGGTGGTGGGCAATGACTTTTCAAGCTCACGTACTGGAGTCCTCCATTATCAGTGGTGCCCCAGGAGTTTGAGAGAAGGCTCCTGGGAAAACCAGGCATGGTCTTTTCTTCATGTCTCACTCAGCCTTTGCCTCCAGGGTAAGTTCTTCCTTGTTGACTCGTTGGGTGAGTTGGATGGAGTTCCTCTCAAGCCAGAACTGCATCACCTGGGTGAAGAGTGGAGAGCTGGAGTGCCATGAGAGAACATGGTGGTTCCTTAGTCTCTCAGTGTATCCGTTTTCTATTGCTGCACTCATGACTTACCAGACTTTGCCACTTAAAACAACACAGATTTGTCATCTCATGGTTTTGTAGGTCAGGAGTCTGGGTGGGTCAGGGTCTCACAAAACCAAAATCACGGTGCCAGCCCATCTCACGCTGGGCTCTTATGGGAGGCTCTGGGGGAGAATTGCTTCCAAGCACACTGAGGAAAAAAAAAAGCCAAACCAGTTGCCGTCCAGTTGATTCAGGCTCATAGTGACCCTGTATGACAGAGTAGAACTGCCCCATAGGGGTTTTTTTTGCTGTGATCTTTATGGGAGCAGATCACCAGGCCTTTCTTCCATGGTGCTGCTGGGTGTGTTTGAACTGCCAACCTTTAGGACAGTTGTTGTTGCTGTTGGGGGCCGTAGAGTTGATTCTGATTCATGTCAACACCATGTGTTACAGAGTAGAGCTGCCCTATAGGACTTCCTCCCCTACGTTTCTGTCAGTTTTTCGTACTGTGGGGGCTTGGAGGCTGTAATCTTTACGGGAGCAGATCACCAGGTCTTCCTCCCATAGAGCTGCTGGGTGGGTTTGAACTGCCAACCTTTTGGGAGCAGCTGAGCTCTTAACCATTGCATTGCCAGGGCTCCTTTTTAGGTCAGTAGTTGAGTCCAAACTTTTTGCACCATCCAGGGACCTTTCAGGTGCTTTCAGGTGATGTCTGAGTTCAGTTCCCGTGGCTGTAGGGCTGAGGTCTCCTTTTCCTTGCTGACTGTGGGCTGAGGGCCATCTTTGTTCCCAGAGGCCGCTTGCCTTCCTTCACACATCCCCAAGGGGCTCCTCCAGTGTCGCCAGGTCAAGACCC